GTTATAAAAACGATTTGGTGCAATACCTCACTCCTGAGGGTTCCGACCATTGATTTTTCACGTGACTTTCATCGATGAGAACGAGAGATTTTACTATGCGATAAGGTCGCTTAGGCATTATATCTAACGCACCGCAGCGCAGCTTCGCGTAAATTATAGATGCGTATTTTAGGTTTCAATTGCAGCCTTAAAAGATGAACTACATGTCTAAAGATTCGACGCTTGTAAATTCCTCCGACTACTTTACAACCCTTGTCGTTTCTCATATCTTTTTCTCGAAGGCTGTTTACAGTATTTTGTGTTGCTTCTGGGTTGTCTGGGACTAGACCCCATCAGTTGAATTACTCTGGGTCCGAAGGGCTTTGGCAGGCACCATTTGTTATTGGCACATTATCTGAAAAGTCCTTTACTTACAAAACAGCATAATCCGGACTTAATCGCTTCACGTGCATGTTACATCTGTGATTCTATCTAACATCCTCGGTACATCGGCTTGCTCACTCAGAATACCCTTCGGAGAACGAAGAGAGGAAGATAGCAACTCGTTCGCCACCTGAAAATTCAATTCTAATCGTTTGTCAGCTCATACAACGCTTTGGTACCTTGCTTGACACAGGGGTAGACCGTACTGCGTCGCTCACCATACTTGATAGAAAACTATCTGCGCCTTGGATCTCTTGCTGTTTCTAATGGCACATCTGTCGATTTTTTCGCTAGCCACGCATAGATTCCACACTGTCATCTGATCAGTTTGTGCGGTGACAATTAATTTGAAGCTCGGCGATTTAGATGAAGGTCCACTTTTCTAATTCGAATGGTTATAAATCCGATTGAAAGATTAACAGACAAGGTAAGTGACTCGGGAATACAAGTTTTGACCGACGTCCCCAAAGTGTCGCCGGTTTCCAGTCGTAACCTGATCAGTTCAGACGAGTATGAACCCGGTCGTGGAACGCAACGTTGCACTTTGCTAACATCTAACATTCATGTGCCCCATATTCTCTCTCCAGACTTATGTGGAGAAACGTTTGGTGCATACACCATAATACTCGGTACGATGCACGTTCAATTTTATGCGCATAGTTAGGTCGCAGAAGCCGTCCACGTTTGATTCCGTGGGACATACGTTAATTCTTTTGGACAATATTCAGGAGCAAATAGAAAACAGCAAGAAAAATGCATTATTTCAGCAATTAGTCAATTAACTTCGATTATACATTGATTGCGAAGATTCCAGGACCTTGCATTCCTTCACATGACTGCTAACCTACTGAGGGTTGGCAATAGGACTACTGCTTTTCACAGCGACCTGTAAATTTGATCACAGTCTTGTAGCACAGCGTGTTGGCGGCGTTTGGTTAATACCTCATACTCAATCAAGATCGTTGGACTTTCTTTGGCAGACACTTTCAGATGTTTACTTCGGAATAGCGAGAAATCCAAGAGAACTAGCAGACAAATGCAATACTAACACCAACTGTTACGGAGAAAAGGCAGTCAATGTGTATTGTATGCCTTTCATCGGCGCCAGTCTCATGTATACGTGAAAAAATTTGGGTCCTTTGCGGTAATTGTTGTGTGTTTTGCTTGCGACACGCAACCCTTTATCTGAATCAATACCTTGTTCATTCCAAGAGATTTTTTTGCTTGGACTATATGCTTGAGCTCGAGTCTATTGGATTTACTATTTCCCAGGGAACGTTTTCACGCTAGATCATCGAGCAACGCGGTGATTAGATATCTGTTGTTGTGTCTCGAAGTAGCTACTGTTTGCTCAGATATGTTTCCTTGTAAAGAGCAAACAACCATTTCTCTGACGGCATCGCGCTTGATCGGTCTGTGATATCCCTCAATTTGCAATCAAACGGGATCGAGTGTACTGGCACTTTCAATTCCCAGTGCGTCGTCTGCTTGTTCAGTTGTGATATGGGTATTGAGGTACAGCGAATTTAACCCACAGTCAGAGCGAAGGTTTCGTGCATTCGACCCAGCTATTTAGGCGAGACTCGTCGCTCTGAGCTCAGATATACTGCCAGATCAACAGGCCTCGACTCCTTCGGTGACGCCAGTCTTCAGCCAACTGGACTATCGGATGGAGATGCAAAGTGGAGGCTATTTACTGACATTGTTGTTTCCCCTGAGGACGAAAAGTATGCTTACAAGATAGTCGCACTCTTACGTACTCTAGTCGAAGGAACTAATGTCATCGGTGGACCGATTGCGGTCAAATATCATGTGGTCAATGACACCAATGAAATTGTATATCTATTGACAAACCATTCATTTCACCAGTTGTATGTAAAATGCTGGCTAGAATACATTTGAAAACGGAGACTAGTTCTTTATGCTTTCGATGGGTGAATTTAAGACCTTTGAGTTTCTCTAATTTTCAGCAACTTCTTCCTCAACACCTATGGACGCACGTGAGCTGATGTGTAGACTGCTTATCGGGGAGCGTGCCGCTATCCCTGCAATGTAGGGATTCGATTTGGGAGGGGTCTGAAGCCAATACACGTGTCCCACTTCAATAGTCTGGACTCTTACGCTCTGACGTGGTCTCTGTTCCGGCCCACCCGCTCCGCAAGCCGAGTATGCATTCCAATGAATCTTGTTGTCCTTCAACCGCCTCCGCGGCACTGACGTGGCTGGGTGTGTAAACCATCGTTATTCCGTCGTCAGACACAGCGATACTTGGCCTCGGAGTGAAGTCAGCTTAATCCGTCTTTGGCACAACCTTTCTATGATGCGAACGTAGCAGGCCAGCTCGCGCGCGCGCGCACACACACACACACACACACACACACAAAGGATGCTTGTGTGCCACAGCACGCCTGACCGCTGTGCTCACCTCCCACACAATCGGATGTGCTGTCCGACGAATGTGACATTGTTGTTTTGATGTACGTGACTTTATGCCAAACCGATGCGTATGCAGCCAGTGTATGCCGTTCACGGATGACCTACCAAATGCGTCTGCGGCAGTGGTTTCACTTGCGTCGTGTACTACCCTGCCGATTTGCAAACAATGAATCAATGCGTCCTAATTCGCTCAGCGACTCTGCAACGATTGCCCGCGCTGTCGCAATGAGGATGCCAGCAGGCATTCAGAAAGACGTCAGATGGCTGCTTCTTTTTTACTTAGTGTCCACACTGAGGGCTGCCAATCCTCTTTCTGCGAGTCTATCTGACCCCACTTGTCCACGGGGATTGGCGGTGATTTGAACACTCCAATGCTCAACATACTTCCCTGATATGGTTATAATGTTTGGGTTTTTGGCCGGAGCAAAATTGCGATAGCAGTGCATCAGCACTTTATACTGAGATGCTTCACTGACGTATCAATGGAGATTGAAAATCAAAAAGAGGAAGTGTACCTGTTGCTAAACGAATCAGCGCGTCTATACCTTGCCAACATGGTATATTTTTGACTAGCTGACTATCGTGTGAGTGCTATAACAGCAATTGTGTGTCTCGGTTATGCTTCCAGCAACCTACTACCCGATGTCATCTGACCCGGGATCCATGTGTATCGGACTCAAGCTCTTAAAGGACGTTGCTCGCAACTGGCATTTTTAGCGTGTTTGCAGATGTCTGATCGCCAGACTACTTGATTGAGGGTTGTATGATGCGGAGTTATCTGTTAAACAGAGTTGGTTATGACCCAGAGTCCCTGTTTTACTGATGCGTCCTCATCTTTGCGGGCGGGTGGAGCTGACAAATGGTAGCTGCCTCAAGAGACTTTGGCGTTTCACATTAGGTTCTCTTCTTCTACGTTATTAGTATTCTTCACTACCAGATGGTTATGATTGTATGGTAGCGAAATATCGGTGCAAAGCGATCGTGTATTGCTGTTGTTGCTGATGATGACGGCTCTCATTAGCGTCTGTTTTATCCGGGGGCACCTTTCTGATCCGCAGTCATTTAGTTATGAAGGATTAATCCTTTCGGTCTATGCTTTGTATCCACAAAATTTAAAGGTTTTCTTTAAACTTGGAAGCGACCACCCTGTGCTGTTTCTTTCTGGGAATCAGTTAGAAGAAGAAGAAGAACTTCGACTTCCTGGGCAACACCTGTGGAATAGATAATGAGGCCACAAACCGCATCCCAAAAGTTCGAGGCGCCCTGATGAGTAGAGTCTACAATGCTGCCTTACTTTCAACCCTTCTGTACGGTTGCGAGACTTGATTCGTCAGATTGACGGAAGCAAAATGGCTAGTTACGTTCGACCACCCCGATGTCTTCGCAGTTTAGCTTATGTCTGTTTGGAACACGGCGTGACCAATGAGCGGGATCGCCGTCTTTTTTATGGCACATGAATAATACCCACATTTCATGCACTAAGCTCCGATGGCATGGGACATGTGTTGCGCATGCCAGCACACGGACTCTCTTGGTGTTCATTGTTTGAGCCACCGAGGTTTGGATGGGGAGGAACTAGCTTCCGTTGGTGCCCCCCGTCTCTCGATGTTGTGGTCCTAAGGGCCGTAAACACATTTGGTTAGATACATTTGTTGGTATGGCGAAGGTCTGACCTCAATGGCATTTGTGTTTTGAATTTCTTCGTCCTTTCCCTTTGAAAGATAATGTTAAAGAAAGCAGTGTCAAACACTGCTCGCGGTGCTCAGTGGCCTAGTGATCATGGCGATAACCGCCAAGCACTGTGCGCCGAGTTCCACTCCAAGCTCCGCTATCTCTACCTGATGAGTCTAAACAAAGGCGAAACCGTCGGTCGTGGAGTGCAGAGATGGGGGAGAGCCACACTGATAGCAGTGTTATCTTTTCGTTTTCTTTCTTTACTAACATCTGATGGAATTTTCTTCCGTCACATTAGTTGCCTTACAGAACGAGGTCGCTGGTGATAATAATGCATGAGTCTGGAAGAGCTCTGCTGGCGGCCTGTTTTTTTTCCTTTTGAGTTTGTTTCACGCATCCTTCTTGCCATCTGAACCGGCCCGTTTATTCATTTGCCTTTTTTTGTCTCTCTCTCCCTCTCTCTCTAGTTCATCAATGGTGGCAGTTTGGCTGATCTGCTCTCCGCAAAATCCCTTGACTTGCCTTGGTCCGTCCGAATCAGTCTCGGGTTGGATATAGCCAAAGGACTTCATCATCTTCACAGTCATAATTTGATCCATCGTGATTTATCATCTGCGGTAAGTGTTGCGTCGCTTAGTGCATTGGAATCACTACCATTGGCAGTATTCACGTTTACCGCCTACTAGGCTAGTCTAGTTCAAGATTACCACACTGACCACAATATTCACCCTGGCTGATGAGCATGGAGTGATCTACCGACTGTTATGCTTCTCTTAGACTTGGATCCCATTTACATACCGTAGCGGTGGAATATGAACGTACAGAATGTCACACCCTTCGGGGATGTTTCGAACGGCGCAACCCGTTGCCGGATAACCACTGTGGGTAGTCTGTCCATCCGTCTATCTCAATATCCACCTCGCTGCTAGCGATCAAGCCTTTGGAGCGGCTGCCATACTCATCTGCAAAGCCATACGGATAATATTTCAATAATCAGTTCGGGTAGTTAGCAACTGGGTGCCGGAGACCATCTGATTCGCAATTTTATCATGTCGAGTATAAGTTGTGCAAACTTCCCAAATCTTTCTAATCATCTTGCCATGCTCCGAACTAGTCGTCAAACGGTTTCCTTCGTCTGCAAACGGCAACAGTATACAGTGCTTGCTGCTTGCAGACGAAAGACAATGCCATGACGTCTTTTTCCAAATGTCAACTGGTCTGATCTTCACACTAGATACACCAGCAATATTTCACAAGTGCAGGGTGACGCACGAAATGTCATAACGTGTTTTGTTCATAACACATGTAATATTATAGATGTAATGTTGCACTCGTATTCATATACTTTGGTTTATAGCAATTCCTATAGATGTCGTTTGAAGCTAGTATGGAGTATTTTCTTGGCGCGAAACACAATTTTCAAGATGGCCCATAAGAGCAGATTGCATGTTGAACAGAAGGTGAAAGTTGTAATTATTTTTTACAGAAACGAGGAGTCTTTTAGCGATACAAATACGTTATCATGCACACCTTCGTACAAAATTGTTTCCATGTAAACAGACTATTCTGAGATTGTATCGTCATTTTGAAACAACTGATTCTGTGGTGGAGAAGATTCGACGGCGTAGACCAAGTGTCCGCACCCCTGAAAACATGGAAGCAGTTCGCGTTGCTTTGACTCGAAGTCCTAGCGAATCCACAAGGAGGATGTCTGCTGAGTAAGGAACATCTCGTCCGTCCATATAAAGCATTCTGCATTCTGCTCGTTAAATTTTCCCTTACAAAATAACATTTGTCCATAAATCAACACCAGAGGACAAGCAACGAAGACATCAGTTCGCTTCATGGTTAGTGCAAGAGCATCACGTTCCGTACAACATGTGATTTACTGATGAGGCGTATTTTCATTTAAATTTCGTAGTGATTAAGCAAAATGTTCGTGTCAGAGCAAGTTAACATCCTCACATTCTGCACGAAAAAGCAAATTATGGAGAAGGGTCAGTGTTTGAGCTTCGATATCATCCCACTGAACCATCTGATCCTTTTTCTTTGGGACGGTAAACAAAGATCGATATAAAGACATGTTGGAAAACAGATTTATTCCAGAACTCTTGGCAACAATTCTCCCATTATAAACTCAATAGTTCATGCAAGCGGGAGACCGCTCACACACTGTAAATGTTGTTCTTGATTACCTGTATGACGTTTGATGGGCGGGTGATGTCACATCAGTCTCCTGAACGTTACCAAGGTGGAAGAACGTGACCCCCGCATAGCCCTGACATCAATTTATCTTATTTCTTCTTGTGGGGCTACTGGAAAGACAATGTCTTCGCATGGAACCCTGCAAGTGCAGTTCAACTCAGGGTTCTCATCATGCTGTTGCGCCTTCTAATTTCGGAAGACTTGCTGGAAGATTGTGACAAATGTAAAGGTTCGCTTGCAAGAGGTTGTCAAACAAAATGGCGATAACATTGAACACATACTACAGTGAACTAAATTTCCATGCCCATACAATTAATTCTGCACTATTTTTGTAATATTTTGATACTAAATACATGTGTAATTAACAAAACAAATGGTATGGCATTTTGTGCGCCACTCTGTGCTTGTGATCAAGGCAGATCTATTTTGTAGCGTTTTCAACGAGCAGTGGTTATGTCCTCGGTCCATACGGTGACGTCGTCCTTCCCGCACCATCGTACACCCTAGTTTTGCCAAATAGACTTATGTGCCACCGTCCCGTAGGTAAATGAGACACAAAAGAAAACCACACAGACCTTGCTAATACATGCTTTTTATTCTTTAGGGATGTAAGCGTCAGTTGTGATACAACTATGCGGGCAAGAAAACTTGTCGACTCATTCGAGTGCTCATTTCTCCTTGATTACGAAAACTGGCGGCATGTCGATGCAATGCAGCAATTGTTCCCTTCGTTTTGGAAATGCAAAGGGCATGATGAAACGTGTAACCCTACCCGACTGCTTATCAAGAAGTGCTTGCACAGAGGTCGGGTCCGACACAACAGGGTCTTTGCCATTTGCGTGCTCCAAGTTCGTCAGAACTACAGCGGAGATTTAGAGGACGGGGTGGTTTTTGACCATTTATCTTCATTAATCAAAAAGGAAGTGGGATATGGAGCACCTTTGGAGCGCGCCCCACTTTCGGCGGTAAACTTACTCGAACTCGGGGTCGCGGTAAAGTGATTTCAGAAGCAGTAAAAATTTCCTTGTCACGCATTTCAACAACATATAGAACCATAGTTTGCACAAACAGCCAAATCAATGGTGACCTTCAAATCTAGCCAGTTCGCTGTGTTAGGTCGTCTGTGTGCGTGTAACTGTTCTTTCGCTTGGTTGAGTGTGAATGTGTTGTTGCAGAATTCAGTTCTTCAAAGATGAACGTTTATTCGGCAAAGTCAACTCGGCGAAAATTGCAGCATGTTGACACGCCAAATTCATCGCTATATATTGTCCGTTCACTTCCGTAAGCAACGGCCTTTTGACTCAGTCAAACCAACGTTGCGGAACCCACACGGGCATCGACCAACCCATGTCCAGCAATCGAATCCGCTGTGTCCGTCTCCCATTGATTGTCTGGCTCGCTTGTTTGATCCATCCATTCACTCTGATAGGACACTCCCATCACAGGTGTGACCAGCGTATTCTCCGTGGATAATGAAGCCGATTCTCCAGCAATCTGCTTGATGGTTGCCACGTTTCTATTTAGGAAAGCCTGCACTTCACTGCCTTCTCGTGCCAACTGGTGTCTCCACACACACACACACACACACACACACACGCACACACACACACACGCACGCACACACACACACACACACACACACACACACACACACAGAGAGAGAGAGAGAGAGAGAGACCGGATTTAGTTATAGGGATTGGCGTGTCTGATATTACCTTGATGGATAGCAGCAGGGTGAATAATACTCGCTCACGAAATTCCTGCCACTCAGCCCATATGCTCGACGATTACTACGAAATCTCCCCCAGTGTGGATCATGGGCTTTCGCTTAGATGGAAGCCGTTAGGACTTCCTCATACCGTTTCGCAGCTCTTCCAGGCGTATATACTTCCTTTCGTCGCTCTTTGTGCATATGCCCCGTCTAACAAATCCACATTCGGTCTTTTATTAGCTTGGATATTAAGTTGTTGCGATTTCAATCTTGTAGTTTGTATACCCATATCTTGGCTCATATGTAACATATTCATTCGAAATAAAACCCACTTTAGTTAACCGCAACTTCCTTGTCGATACTGTATTAATCGCCTTCTCTGGAACAATGTGGTGTTCATCTTTTTTGAAGTGTACTCTTTTCACCCTATTATTGTTATAATTAACCACACTCTGCTCTGTCGTATAATCCACTTCCCCCGGCTGCATCTACATTGTTCACCTCTTCCTCTTGTATGCACGAATACAGAACATTCTAATTCGAATCGGCCGGTTCCCATACCTTACCATCGACGACGAGTTGGATGCATCCAAACTGCATATCACAGATCCCCTTGTGTACGGTTTGTCCAAAGGACGAAACGTAACTCTCTCCGGTGCCTCTGCCTTCCTCTCAGACTGCCCGAACGGATTGGCCCTTCAATCCTCCGCGCTCAAATCCGCACATTTGGCCACCAGGTTGCTGCCTACTCACACAGGGAGCAACTCCAACGGTAGCGTAATCCAATCGCCCAAAAACGGATCCTCTATCGGATGGGGCCGTGATCAAACGGGTGGTGACACTGTGACCCATTTTCTGGACACTGATTTCTTGTTGTATTCTACGCAAAATGACAAGCCTTCTACGAACGGCTCCCTTTCCTTGCCTGTCATCGAGCCGGTGTGGAAACAAGCCGCTTGGCCAGTGCCCGCAATGCAGTTGGATGTACGGCATCTCCAATACTCCGCTGTTGTCGCTGATCTTGGACTGTGCCTGGATCTCAGTCAGTGAGTGTATCTGGTTTCCGTTCTAACCCTTCTATTCTTTGCTCACCATCACAGGCAATTTCCATGTTGCGCGTTAGCCTTCAGAATATTTAAGGTCTATAGTGTATCCCTTCTGGAATTTGGCGGCTTTTAACCTCCATTTCCTCTGGGTTCAAACATCCGCTCCTGCATGGACCTGGACCTTGTATTGTTCCGACTAACGTCTGCTTGCGACTGCATGGTACAGAAACACCAGTGCACAGTGATGGTGTACTGCTCCAGCGTCTTGTGTTGATAATTCGTTACTCAGTACCCGGGTTTTTTGGAAGCTTCTGACCGGAATAATCGATTTTCCGAGCTGAGCTCATTCAAACACGTGTTTTTAGTACTAGACTGCCGAGTCTCAGTTCGTTGCCCAAAGACCAAGGCGTCTGCTTTACAACCTTAAGGTCGCGGGTTCGAATCTGCGTAGGGGGTAAGGCGACCCTCGCAGTTTCCTTAATTCATGCGCAACCAGCGGTAGTTACGTAGCAACGAAACGCCGGTACGGTGTATTGGCGTACTTCTGATTCCTTGTTCTAGTGATTTTAAGGAAAATCAAAGAACCGTATAGATTAGTTGACTCATTCTGTCAGCACAAGACTCCGTAAATAAATCAACACCATACACACACACAGTCCGACTAGGAGACGACAGCAGACGCTCCGCTGGTGTCGATTGCTAGCCATATCCTATAAAGTCTCGAACCCAACACAAGGTGAGTCGCGTGGACTCCAGCCTGGAAGGCGAGACAGACCGACGACACCAGGTTTGGTAATCAGTGACTTCAGTACCTGCCGCCAAGTCAACTTTCGTCCACCCCGAGCCTTGCGCCACCCTAAATCTGGCAGACAAAGCAAGGCTCTCCTTGGTAAGCGGTGACCGGGCATACATAGTACGTGTCTAAACCAACGCAACTTATTCAGTGTTACCTGTTTTTCCAAGAAACAAGCGTTATTATTAGTGCTTAGCACTCGCCTACGCACATCATGGTTGCAGACATGCTGATGCCATCTAAGACCAGTTATGCTTCGCAAGCAGCGATGATCAAAGACTTGAAATCGTTTCCGATCCCCGGATCGAAGGGACCAAGTTTCGCCCTCATAGATTAGGACCATCCTCACTGTGGCGCTGTGAACACAACCTTTCAGAGCGTGGAAGGCCAATTTCTGACGCTACAGGTTCAAGAAGGCGGTTCTAGCTTTTGTAGTACGCGAGCTTACTTTCGTGGTTTTGCGCACCTCGTTGCTGATGCAGCTGCGAAGACAAGTGAACCGACCAACTACCGCAAATTCCTCGTTATCAAGGGTCAATGTGGTCATCAAGTGGCCTGTGATCCTGCAACCAAACTTTGAAAGTGCGGATCGCACGCCAAACGATAGGACCGGTGTAGAGATTATTCAAGGCTATCTGGGCCTCATAATAGGGATCAACAGGTTTTCTACCAGTCAGGATTTCAACACCCGCATGGTGAGATTCCGCAAGAGAACATTCCTTGATGCAGTCCATAACGAAGTTGAAGAAACAGTGGGAAGTTAGACAATCCTGACGAATGCCACTTGTAATCCGAAAGACACTAGACAATTCACTGTAGACCCTTTCGCGGCCTGCGTTGATACTAAGAGGCACTTTGGCGTTCGCTGTGCACAATGGCGGTACTACTAACTAACAGCCTGTGTCCCGCGCACAGTTGCAACAGACGCACACCGTTGTCTGCATTTCCCATTTAACTGAGCTCCTGAAGATCCCAGGCATTCTTGTTTCCCTGGAACGGTAACAACATCCGAACAGTTGACATTGCGAAGCAGCGTGTTCATTTCATAATGGAAGATATCTTTGAAAGCATCAGAACTGCAGTCGGTACGGGCATAAGCAGTAGCCAAAGACAAACAGCAGCTAGTGCTACTTCGTGAATCAACCTTTATCGAGCTTGTCAGATGTGCTGCATTGCCAACGGTGCGAGCGTTGCAGCTGAGCGCAATGCCTACCCCTGCATGAGCAGTGATTGCTGCATCAGCGTTTCCGGATACATACAACAAATAGCGAGGACAACCTGCGCGCAGTTAGTTCAACCGCAGCATGTAGTTCACTAATCCTAGTTTCGTACACACTACCCAATGTGTCCAACATGCATGCGAGTGCAGCTTGTTGACCTATTTGTCTTTAGGTGCGACTATTGAACACTGCCAAGGAAACGGGACTATTGCCAATAGACGTCCAGTGGCTTGTGCTGGAAGATTGCTACAGGTGGTTTAACTCCAGTGGCATTGAGGTTGCTGTCAATTAAGCTGGCAAGTATGGAAGAAGAAAGATCAGTCAAGTGGGTCAAGAGTGGAGCAAGAGAAGGAGATATTGTGTGCAGCTGACTACATGACCCTTTAACTGTACGCGATGGCCGATGCAGGATTTGGTTGCATTTCGGTGATGGTTATTGCATCTGGCCGCTTCGCGCTGAAGAGATAGAGTCCGACCGCCTTATATCCTCGTTGGTTACAGAATAATGCTCATGTCTGGGGGAACATCGGTGTAGTCTTCCAGTTAATGTTTGGAAATAAGGCTTCTGTGCTTCACTGAGGGTCTGTTTGACCTAACTTTGGTTGGCAGAAAACGCCTGTGCAAAAAAATGTGTGGTAAATTCTTATTGCTGAGATTGTAGAAAACCAAATAGAATTTAAATTTCCAGGTGGTAAGATCAAGCAACCTCAGCAGCAGACCGATGAAGACAAAAGTGCTTGGTCTTTGCGTATCTTGGCGCATTTGCTGCGTTCTAACTCCTGAATCGTGCCCGTTTATTACGTAAAGCTCAGAAAGAGTAGCAGAAACATTATGCTTCAAGCAATCAATTGTTTTCGATTAATTCAGTTTTCGGCTTATACATTAATATCATGTAGTATAAGGTTCGTTGTAATCGTCCATGTAACAAGGAATCAATTGCCCAGATAATTTAACTTTTGATCATCATGGTTGGCGGCATCCGGTTTCGGAGTTGGCTGTCACTGTGGCCAGCCACAGGACGCCTGCGCATACAGAGGGACCATGGATGGCTTGCGCTGCACCACCCACAGCTCCATCCACACACCCCATATCCAGTGTAAACCCGAAGGAATAAGACCGGGAGGCATGCGGATGGGAACCACGTTTCATCAACGGAGCCTGACCACACTCCTACTCAGGCAAACACAAGCAAACTGTATTTAGGGAATCAAGTGCACACAAGGCGGTGACTGGACCGTAGTCCGCTCCACACTGACTGCATGGAACCACTTTTCGAGCCTAGCACGACCACAAGGACCGTGCACCCCGTCCCCTCCAGCAACGACCAACTGTCTCTTGGAGTCAGATGGACGTGGTAGCGGGTAATAGACAGGTAGGCACCTTGTCACCATGCACATCAAGCGCAGTCACACCTGGGATGTCAAACAATAGCCAATCACCTGGAACGACAAGATGAAATAAAACAAATCCAATAATGCATACAGATACGGTGGCATAACTCTTCGCTAAATTACCATATGAAGTAAGTTGGTTAGCAACGAATCCGCGATACGGAAAACATGTCCATAAGTTAGTTAAAAATGCTACAAAACGCAACAAAGTTTCAGAAGATAAGCGCAATTAGCGTAAGCGACGTGCCAGCTAATAGAAGATTATTCAGATAGGCAAAACAAACCAAATAAAGTGGGATGGAATTTAGCCAGGTTAAAAAGACCTAGTTTAAGTGTAAGTTGATTTAGCCCAACTGCGGTGAAGAAGCATTAAGAATGCAACGTCAGCCTCAGCATGGTCAGCATGATCATCATACCGGTAATTTAATCACCTAATTGAAATCAGGTGGTCTTGCGGAGTGCAATTGCTTCCTTCCCATCTGATGGTCGGCCACAGCAGCTGCAATGTCTGTACCACATTCTTCTGGGCACACAGATCGGAGCTTGTTAGCCGTATGCATACTGCTTCCGCAGTAGCAAGTAGGTATAATCTTACTTGATAACTATGCATAGGCAGTATTCTGTGTAGAAACTGGAAGGCACTATGTTTGTCGATCTGATGATTGGAGGTGGTTTGCAATTGTGCTGTTGCTTGTACTCTTGTGAGGTGTTTCTTAATTCTACCTAAATGTCTGGTCGTCCGTTTAAGGTACCTAGCCCCACTTGGCCAAGTGAACCGGTAGATTAACATTGATTGGAGATTATCATTCACTCGGTCTTTGAACACCAGCACTAGTAAAGGTCTGCTCGTGAAAACCACATTTAGTCTGGTCGCATTTAAAGTTTTTTTTGCAAGTTTGTTTCAGTCTACATGTGCGTACCTCAGCTACACTATTTCCTTTGAATGGACGAGTCAGGAAACCTTGTTTATTTTCGACCGTTTGTTTCGACATTTTTGGTATGTTTCCCCTCATGTGGGCCTCGATAAAGCGCTCAGGATAACTGTTCTTCAGAAGTGTTTCTTTGATGTGTTTGAGTTCGGCTTCAGTGTTGTTTTCGTTGCAGATTTTGTATACTTGAATGGATGAAGCTATGAAAGTTCATGTATTGCCCCGTCCAATACTACTCCCTGTATACTTTTACGTGGATTGATTTTCCGTTCTATCTGACGAGACTTGCGTCTAAAGAATCTATCTCAATGTTATTTTCTTCCTCAGACGTAAATGTGGCATTCGCGTGGGCTTTCTTAACACTCTCGACTACCTGCTGCAGGTTGATGTTCCGATCACTTGTACAAACTATATCCTCTACAAGACGCCGGTAGAATTTCAGGCCGGAGATAACTTGTTTTAGTGGACCGTCTTCCAGCATTCCCTTAAAGATGTCCGCTAATAGTGGGCCAAGTGGAGATCCTATTGTTACACCATCGACCTGTCTGTATAACTGGTTGTTGAATAGGTATTGAACGTTGTACGTACATCTGCGTACCGTTTGTTTCAGTTAAAAGTGCTTGACCTTGTAGTGTAAAGTGTGTACTAGGAAGCCAAATTAATGACG